TTGTCCACCAACCTGGTCAAAACATCGAACACTCACTTTTCGTCTTCTTGATTTCGTTGACAATACCCTTGCCACAAGAAGACAATGAGTAGGACTTCCCTGACAATGGTTGTATGCACGTTGTTATGTAAGAACATTTAGAGAGAGAGAGAGAGGACTTTCCACACTTTCGGCAATACTAGGACATTTGGAGGTCTAGTTTTAAACTATACAAATGATTCTTCATTGATTCATACTTATATTTAAAGGGATATTCATTTAATTCTAAGCTTTATTTGCTCTTTTCATTCATTCTCTTTCAATGGATTACATATGTATGATTGTTAGTTAGTAAAATTGTCATTAGTCTATGATCTAATCATGAAAATAATAATAGTTTGTTTATTTTATTTTGATTCCATCATCTCTTTGTAATAACATTAATGGTTACCATTACGGTTTGAGCAAATGACCTTATTTAATCATTAGTCTAATGAAAAAAAATAATTGTTATTCAATTAACGAGTCATAAATGGATGGTAATTAAAAATAAAATCATATGTAAATGATGAAATGTAACATATATATACGCCTCCGAATGCCCTGCTATGGCCGAGGGTGGGGAGAATTCGCGCTCTCTCTCTATCTCTATCTCTCTGTGTGTGTGTGTCGAAATGCTCTCACATGGCAACGTGCATACAACCACTGTCAGGGAAGTCCTACTCATTGCCTTCTTGTGGCAAGGGTATTGTCAACGAAATCAAGAAGACAAAAAGTGAGTGTTCGATACTTTAACCGGGTGGTCGGACATGAAAGATCCATCTATGGGAGCTAGAAAACCCTGATTCGAAGACGGTGGTTCATATGGGCTTCAGCATCCTTAGAGAACAAATGATGTATGAACCAGTTGTTGGTCACCGGTTACCATGGGACTTCGTCTCCTGAAGATGCTGCACTGCCTTATAGATCAAACATCTAGGTGGAAGGTTCCAGGTGTGGCCCGAGAAGAAAACCACCTTATTCGGTTTGAGCAGCCGAGCAGTATCTCAGCCCTCATATAAACCGAATGATTTATGTGGCGCATATCTATTTGGTACCTCCTTGTACCAATGTTTAGACTACTATTAAACAAAATATAAGTAGTATTCCAAATAATTCTATTCTTTTATCTAAATAAGGAAATTCACTTTATAATATTTATTCATTAAGTTCATTCATTGAGAATAACTTTGATTTATTTGAAACTATTGATAAATGAGTGGTGACGGCAGTCATGTTTGTTTATTTCTTCGTGCTTATCATATTCTATCAAGTGATTAATAATATAATCACAATTTTGTGTAACTTATCAACTTACTTATTTACTTACACCTATTACACCTCATGGAGGAGTATAAGTCACTTACAACAATTTCCTATCCAACTCTGTCCTGAGTGATCCTTTCCGGTTGTAGCCAATCGCTATTCATTCTTTTGATATCTGTTCTTTGTTCATCCGCTTTTTCGTTTACCTTCAGGATTCCAGGCAAGCGCTTGCCTCATGATCCTGTTTGGTAATTTCTACAATGTATATCCTATCCAATTCCAACATATTTTCCTAATATTCTCTCCAAAAGGAAACTGCTTAGTCCTCTCCCACACTAGACTGTTACTGACAGTATCAGACCAACGAACACTGAATATCTCGCGTAGATAGTTGTTTATAAATACTTGTACCTTTTCGATGATGGTTGTAGTAGTTCTTCACGTTTCAGCTTCGTACAGTAGAACTGTCTTGATGTTCATACTAAAGATTGTGATTTTGATATTGTTTGACAGACAGTTGTTTTGAGTTCCGTATGTTCTTTAATTGTTGGAATGCGGCTTTTGCTTTGCTAATCCTCACCTTTATGTTTGCGTCCGATCCTCCTTGTTCATCGATGGTGCTTCTCAGGTACTTGAAAGATTCCACCTCTTCCAGAGTTTCTCCTTTAAGTGTGATTGGGTTACTAATTAGTCACTATTTGCAATATGGCAGATATAAATATAGCTATCCATACTACCGTCAGTTTAAACATATCAAAATCAATCACATTTATGCAAATACATTCATTGCTCATCGCATCTGTACATCTTGACTTTTTATACTCCTCTTGTATTCCTCTTATTCTTTATTTCGAAGTGTATACAAAATATTTTAGTCTTTCGTATTATCAGTAATACTACTATTATTATTTCAACTCGTTTACTGCTCATCTTCTTCTATGATCTTGGCGTGTTGATATGATGTAGTCACATCGAAGGATGTAGATGTATTATATTCTGTATTTTGATTGTGATCAACTGATCAATAGTTATGTTATGTGACATAGTTTAGAAGTATTAATTCAAACCATTTTATTCGTAGCTTAAAATGAGATAATTCATCTTATGTTTGATGTCATTATGGGGTTGTAAAGAGTATGATGATTTTTTTTTATTGAGATCATGAACCGAGTGATTTTAAACCATCATCGATAACCTGGAAGCACCGGACGGCCGTTTCGTCCCATTGTGGGACTCCTCAGCATTGCGCATCCACGATCGCACTTCGCAAGATTCGAACCTAGGTTCTGTCAGTCTCGCGCGTAAGTGCCTCACCAAAACTGGGAATTAGAGTAGAAAATAGAATACAAAAATTACATTTAAATTACGATAGCTTTAGTACAGAATAGGTTATGACAGTGAATCATACATCAAACGGAAGCTTATGCTCTGTAGAATAGACTAGCGACACAAATAAATGTTACCTGTATTTACAAGCTTTGAATTAAGATGAAATAACTTCCCCAAAAACTATTTTCCGCAGTTTGCTAAGGTTTCTTGTCTCTCTGTTCACTTCAATTTATTTCATAATTTTATAAACTTCTATTCATTTAATTATCATTAAAGGTTTACAATTGAATATCTAATAGTAAAATAACTCTGTTCACATGATATGGTTATCAACTGGGATTTCTTTTTCATTATTCATAAACTAATCCACTGATATCATCTGTCGGTTAACTAATTTGACATATACATATACAATATATAATATGCCATTTAAGCTTATCAAAAAATATACAACTTCCCCCGTCACCCCCCTTCCCTTTCAAAAAAATAGCACAGCAACTAATGCATTACATTTTTTTGAAAAAAAATAGTATACTAGGACAAAACAGTAGTTCGATGCTTCCACAAAACCCCCCTTCTGATAATAAAAGTATATAGTATTGAGATCTAATGTAAAATTACATAACATTCATCAAACAAACGTATCAAGTACATTACATGTTGTTTTTTCTTAGTTTTTTTTTCCAAAACTAATACATGTTTGAAGTAGACATGATGTACTGTGTATTATCATTGATATATTTTATACAAGAAACTAAATAGCTCAATGTTCATTAATTCAGTAAATAAGTAGTATATGTAACACCAGTCAAAAGTGGAATACCCGGCAATAATAGATTATGAAGATCGAAATGATGCGAATGGGAACAGCGAGTAATTTTTGTGGTAATGAAGGAACAATGAAGTTTGAGACAACTGATAAAGAATTACAATAAAATTGGTTATCTCCACCTGTGTTCTTGTTCATTACAGTACAATATTACACTAAGGTTCTAACATTCATCCATATTACAATTAATCAAACATGGTATTCCATATCGCTAGCGAAAATTTCCTATAAGGCCAGGTGGTATCACTATAAAAGGTTTGAATAATTTTTTCTCGTTAGCGTATTTTTAGAGAGTTAGCTTTCTACGGGATGGGGTCGCTAACTTCATACGCAACCTTCCTCCTTTATCCGGGCTTGGAACCGGCAGTAGCTCCTGGAGGGACTCCAGGCGGAGTTGGAGAACGCTGGTCGGTGGCCTATGCTCCATTAGGATTAACAGGCGTAAATGAGTAAGTAAGTCAGATATCACTATGCTATTACCCATTAGATACTAAATTCATGAATTCCAGTGGATTCATCTGTCTTTTGCCTTCAGAGAGTAGATAAGGAGGAAAATAGATCAATAAAATCTCGTGTCTTGGTTTGAGATTTCTAGTAATTCACATGGTAAGAGGTTATAAGCCTTTCATAGTGTGGTGTATGTTATTTATGTCGACATGAGTAGTATATAACGCTAGTCAGGAATATAATGTCTGGCAGTAGAAGATTGAGAAGATCAAGAAGAGAAAAAGAAGAACAGAAAGTAATTGGTATGGAAAAGAAGGAATAGCCAAGTTTGAGACATTTCATGAACATTTTGCGAATTATGTATTAGAGTATGGTTTTTCTATTTTATCAAGGAACTCTGTAATTTTGTACTGAATATAATTCGGTTGTCCTCACCTGTGTTCTCCTTCACTACAATAGTATATTTCGAGTAAATGCAATTTGAATTCATTATTATTCAGTTCAAATATATCTAAAATGGTAAGTGTTATTGAAGTAATTACGCAGTTGAGACACAGGTGGTTTACACATCTGAGTAGACTATCCTAAAGAGCTGATCATCTAACGTTGTTATTATTAACTATTAAATTACTACAATATTCACAAAAGTCCCTTCTGATATTAATCAACATATGCTCACTAGTCACTGGCTTCAAGAGGCATTTCGTGGAGTTCTAGTGAGAAGCAGTGACAAGTGGAGTTCAATCAGGTCTGTTGTGAGATAGTAACCCACTAAAGACAATTGTGGACGTGTCGTTGAATTTCGTGGATTGATTGAAGTTAGACATTAACACCATTGGATGCCGGTCGGCCCAGTGGTTTAGACGTTAGGCGTTTGAGCGCGACACCGAAGGTCCTAGGTTAGAATCCCGTGAGTCGGGTTCGTGGATGCTAATTGCTGAGGAGTATGTAAGTATATTGAAAGTATCCACCTAAATACTTATTGTCCTTGAAGATATTTATGGATTATGACAGTGGCTTTCATCTTAAAACGACATCAGTATGATGTGATAAAAATTATGTTGAAAAGATATGAAATCTCTCTAAAATAACCTATTTATTCCGTTATTATATGCTTACTAGTAGGTAATATCAGCGGATGTTTCTCCAAATTCAAGTAGGGAACCGCCAAATATGAAGTCAATCATATGAGGACTGAAATTTTAATTAAACTTGCTAAAATATCACACCCGGTTGAACGTCCGATAATCGTGGACTGATTTCGATACCAACTGTTTGGAGCTTACTGATGACGACAGCATAGGTTATTTTGGAAAAAAAGCGTTGATAAACAATAGCTAAGTGAAGAACATGATACCGTTTGAAATGAATGGTAATGGTTTCCAGCTACGGACTAAATATCAACTCTGAGGTGCAGGTATATTCAGCTGAAGAGTCCCAAATAAAACGAGACGTCCGTCCTAAATTCCACTGTTAGTCACTATCCATCTTTGCTTAGAACGTCATTTTAGTCAGTTTATGTTTTTTAAAGCACATAGTAAATAATGATTTTTACAGTTCATTTATACTCATATAGGATGACTACTTGGTAAAAAATGAAAGTGACACATATCCTATTTATAAATGTATCACCTGTTTCTACTGTATATCTAGGTTTACAGTCACTGTTGCCTACCTTATCATCAGGATTCTAAAAAGATATACCACAAATGACATATAATACAAGGAATATGGAAGAGAAAAGATGATAATGTTATTTGACAGTAAGATCTTTATCAGAGTTTTTTTATAAGATACGCTAATGTTAAAAGAACATAATAAACCAGTCTGTGGTAACAAACAAAGATGGATCGTAGTTAACAATAGAATCTAAGACACACGTTTCAGCCTACTGAGTTCAATTTACGAAGTGAACATCAAATCTAAAATGCAAATATATCCAACTGACGAGTCTTAACTAGGACGAAACGCGTGACTTGAATTCCACTTCTACTTACTATCCATTTTTGCTTATAACAATATCAAGTCAATCCAATATAAGATGCACATATATCACTAAGTCACTGATCAATTCTAGGCCTAAACAACAATAGGCAGATACAAGCAAACAATATCATCTTCTATAAAATTAGAAAAAAAAATCAGACAGTAGAAACTATCAATAATGAAAGAAAAGAGAAAAAAACGAGAAAAAAGAAAGGAAAAAAGGTAAAAATACAAAAATCATAACGGAAACGTATGTTCACACTAAAAAAAAATTTTTTTTATTTTTAAAAGAAAAAAAACCAATAAAATTTAGAGATAAAAATAACAAAAAAAAATAGATACACCCTATTCCGTGTAGAATTTCATTAAGTCATTACAGAATGAAATCTTGATCATTTAAGATTTGTACTTCTTCTTTGTTATTGTGATTGTTGTTGTTGTTGTTGCTAAGAGGATTAAGGTTAGTGAATGAATAAGCAATGGATAGATTATTTAAACAATATTAATTAATATTATATTTCACTGGTTGAAATTATGAGTCAATTGAAGCTAGATCACTATGGAAAACCTGGAAGCTCTGGACGACCGTTTCGTCCCAGTATGGGACTCCTTAGCAGTAAGCATCCACGACCCCTCCCTCCGCCAGATTCGAACCCACGACCTATCAGTCTCGCGCCAGGCGTTTAACCAACTAGACCACTGAGACGGCATCCAATGGTGTTAATGTCTGACTTCAACCAATCCACGAAGTTGTGTTCCCGTACACTATTGTCTTCAGTGAGTTGATATCTCACAACAGACCTGGTTGAACTCCACTGGTAAGGACTTCTTATCACCTAGCTTCAAATGACTCATGATTTCAACCAGTGAATTTCCTAAAATCTCCACAAAACCCGTTCTGATAATGATATTTTTGTTTGACTTTTTTTCTATTAAAATAGCTCTATGGTAATGTTTTAGATTGTGATAATAGGGTGAAGGATGATTCATCTTTGAAACTTATAAAAAGAGTTAGTTCTTTGAAGAATGACATTGTGCTTTGATAAAGTGTATTAAACTTTGACTGTAGAGTGAAGTAAAATAGTGCATGGTGACCAACTGACTAACTCGTTCGAAGGAAAGACTAGTGTCTCACAAGTTTATTTACTCTCACACTTTCTCTTTCTTCTGGTGGTCGACTGGTTTATGAAGACCTAAATATCTGAGTGGGAGCGCGGAATACAATGGACAGCTCAAAATTTAGATTTGGACTTCACAGACAACCTGGACCTTCTCTCCCATACATACGAACAAATGTAGATGAAGACAACTCGTGTAGCAGCAGCCTCTGCATCAGTAAGCCTCAACATACACAAAGAGAAAAGGAAAATCCTTAAATACAACACAGAGAACACTAATCCAATCACACTTGATGGAGAAGCTCTGGAAGATGTGAAATCCTTCACGTACCTGATAAGCATCATCGTTGAACATGGAGATTCGGATGTAGGCGTTAAAATGAGGATTGGCAAAGCAAGAGCCGCATCCCTATAATTGAAGAACATATGGAACTCAAAACAACTGTCTGTCAAACAATATCAATCAGTAACAGTCTACTGTGGGAGAGGACTAAGCAGTTTCCTTTTGAAGAGTATATTCGGAAAATATGTTGGAATTGGAGAGAACATACATTGTGCAAATTACCAAACTGGATCACGAGGCAAGCGCTAACTTAGAATTGTGAAGGGAAACATGAAAGTGAAAGGCCAAAGAACACACTGCATCGGGAATCGGAAGCAAACATGAAAAGGATTGTCCAGGATATGGTTGAATGGAAAGTACTGGTAGGTGGCTTATTTTCCTCCGCGAAGGATAACAGGCATAAGTAATTTAGTAACCACTGAATGTCGACTCACTGTTTTAGAGGTTAAGCATTCGCTCATGTCACCGGAAGTCCTGACTTCGAGTCCCACATACATGGTCGTGGATGTACAGTGTTAGTGAGTCCTACACTAAAACGAAATAACCATCGAATACTTTCAAGTTTTTCATAGTCATCTATCATTAATTGATTCATATATTCAACTATTTAACAGTAATAGTTATACTCATTCAATGAATATCTCAAATTCTCTTGTCAATAATTTATCCAATGGTTAAGATCATGAGTTTGTTGAAGCTAGACCACTATGGAAAACCTGGAAGCACTGGACGGCCATTTTGTCCTATTGTGCGCATCCACAACCTCGCCCCCCCCCTGCGAGATTTGAACCCAGGACCTACTAGTTTTGCTTCCAGATTTTCCATGATGGTCTAGCTTCAACTGACTCATAATCTTAACCATTAAAATTACTATATTATCCACAAAACCCATCTGATATTAATAATTTATTGATTTATATTGATTCATCTAATGAATAATAAATAAATAAATCAATAATCATAATCAATTAAAACTACTAGAATCATTGAATAGATAGAAATGAATAAATGATTAAAGATTATAATCTGTCATTAATAATTTATATCTCAGTTCATTGTTTCTAAACTATTCCATATACTAAATAGGATGTATATACCTTATCATTCTTTTGAATATGTATGTTATATTTGAAGTGATGATGAGTTCACCTAATCTGAGAATGTAATAAACACTCTATGACACAATCACCAATAAGCAAGCTATTCTGATATGCCTCAGCCCTGCTAACTAGAGAGAGATAAAGAGAGGAAGAGAGAAGAATCCAAGTTCGGGAGAAAGGAAATATATTCCACAAACAACCAGAAACACGAACAATAACAATAGGTACAAATCAAATGTATATATACAGTATAAAATTATCCTTGGGAAGTGTTACAAAATGGCATACGGAAAGATACAACCAATTAATCTTCCCAAGTGGGAAATACGACATGAAGGTGAAAATAAAATCACAAAAGTAAGATATTTACAAAGTGAGTTCTGAGAATTTTACATCCTCAACAATATACAATTAAGCGAAGGATTTCATACAATTAGTTCCCTTTATGAATCCATCAAATTGGCAACCTATTTAAATATCTAGGCTACCGGTTCCTTCTATCTGAATATTTCAACAAATTATCTGTCTCCTTGTATGCTTTAACAGATCAGATGCGTTTGTGAAAAGTTTACAATCATTCATTATACAATTAACAATAAAATACAGTGAGACTATAATTTATGAATGATCTATGAGCAACGCTAGACTGAACTTAAGACTGTTCTCCTAATAACTATGACCAAATGAGGGTTGTAAACCTGTGTGCAGAATCAGATTTATGATTTACAGTTGATGGTTAAGGACAAGAATTAGATTTAGGGTTTTCATCACGAACTGACATCAACTATAATGCCAAAACTTTATTTAGACAAATAGATGAGTGAATTTCGTGCCAAAATCCGAGACCTGCTATCTTATATTTGATTGGTTCGTCCATAAATTATAGTTTCACCTCTATTACTACTCTGTTAGATCAATCTCTATCATTTTCTTTATTTTGTTATATGATCTTTCCTTATTGAATTCTTATTTTACGTACATTAAAATCCCCCCTTCACTCATATATTTCACTTAAGTTATGTAAACTCTTCAAATCTTATTCAGTCATTAGATAGCTCATTCTATCAGTTCTTTTTAAATCCAGGAATCTTATGCAAACCCTTCACAAAGACCAGCATTCTCCAACTCACTCTGTCCTGGACCTTCTTTTCTAATTCCATCCAATTCTTGTTCATTTTTCTCTTGTCTATCTCCATTTCCCGGAGTATTGTGTTCTTTGGTCTTCCTCTCCTCCTTTGGCCTTGAGGATTCCATATGAGGGCTTGTCTTGTGATGCAGTTGGGTGCTTTCCTCAATGTGTGTCCTATCCACTTCCAGCGATTCTTCCTGGTTTCTTCCTCCGCTGGGATCTGGTTTGTTCTTTCCCACAGTTGGTTGTTGCTAATAGTGTCCGGCCATCCTGCATATATAAATAAAGAGTTATTACTGATCATCTTTATCATTCCAATTCTTTACATACATCTATGTCAGTTGTTTCACACTATATCCTACCTCAATGCAAAACTTTCAATACATATAAATGGTTATAAGCAACTGATGAGAAACCATAAAATACGATGGATTCATATTCTTCTGCATTGATGTTAATTCCAGCTTTATTTAAACGGACAATTCCTATTCAATTATAATATCAATTTATCATAAATCACTTTCATCCAGTGTTCTATTTATTTTATTTAAACATTTAAATATTAGTACAATGGGGCACCGGATACATATGCGTCACACAAATCACTTGATTTGTGTGAGGGCTGGGATACTGCCTGGATCCCCAAACCAAAGCAGGTGGTTTTCTTAGGGAGCCACAACCCGAAACTTCGACTTGAAGCTCTAATCTACAAGATAGTGAAACAACTTCACAAAATGCTATCCCATGGCACCCGGTGGTCAAAAACAGGTACAAATGCCTTTCATACTCTCAGGATACTGGAGCCTATGTGCACTACTGATTTGAAATCAGGGTTTTCCAACTCCCCTAGATGGTTCCTTCATATCTATCGACCCGGTTAGAGCATCGAAAAATCACTTTTTGTCCTCTCAGTTTCGTAAACAATACTCATCGCGCGAGAAGGCATCCTAGTATAGTTTAGTATACTGAGCTATATGGTTTAACCACGAAGCATTCATTATCTTTCTGGATAACATTATTAGGAAGATCTTCAGATAAAAGTGAGCTATTCAAGTCACTCCGTATTTGACTGATAGCTTATTCCATCGAACTTGATCTTAATCGTTTATTGTTTACCCTTATTCTGTTGTGGTGAACGAGGACACAAATTGATTAATTACAGTATTAGTAAAATCCGATCAACATATAGTACATTCTTTATTTGCAAAATGTCAATCCATTGTCTTAAACTTGACTGTTCCTCTTGCAAATATCAGTCAATCGTCTCAAACTTCATTGTTCTTGCATTTCCATACAAATTGCTTATTGTTCCCGTTCTTTCTTCCTTAATCTTCTTGACCTTCTGCTCCCAGACATTCTATTCTTGACTAGCGTTATATACTACTTTTGTAGATATAAGTAATACACACCGAAGGAATGCATAATGATGAAGTTTCTAGTAGTTTTTGATAGTTCACTTATTATTCAGATAATCGTTCATGAACTGAATTGAAGAAAATCCTCTGTAAATATAATCTTAAAGTAACATATGTGATAATGAAATCTTTACACTTGAATTTCCCGACATTTACTAAAACCTGAAAGAAATTCTTAGAATCACTGAATACCATAGTGACTGGTAGGATTCCTCTAGGGCTTTCCTTTTCGTTGAATGTCATGAGTAAATGTTCTACTAGTATAACTTTGAATATGGAATCTGAGGACCTCCAGAGGGATAGTTTGAACAACAAGACCAGAGAAAAGACAAACGTATTGTCTTGAAGGGAATATCATGAAACATGTATAGTTTTTATGACCTAAGTCCTAGTATTTGTTGAATAAACCATGTATTCTTAGTATCTAATTTACAAATATCATAGTTCATTCACTTGTTATTGTTTGCTTGTATCTTCCCATTATTATTTAGGATTACCATTGATCAGTCTGTGATTGACATATGTGCATCCTATGTGAACTGTCTCGATATTCTCTTAAGTCACAACCTTTGTAAGCAAAGATGAATAGTGGTTAGCAGTGGAATCCAGGACACGCGTTTCGTCCTGTATCCCAGAGTTAATGTTCACTGCATAACCTGAAACCAGTATCGTTCGCTTCAAACTCTTCCGCGTTATCCACTGAACTGGGTACGAGTCCCAAAGTGGACATGAACTCTGAGATGCAGGCACATCTAGCTGACGAGATTCAAATAGCACGAAACACGTATACTGAATTCCACCGCTAGCCATTATTCATCTTTGTTCATAAATATCATAGTTAATAAGCAATAATGGATAGTGGCTAGCAGTGGAATCCAGGACGCGCGTTTCGTCCTATTAGGTACTCGTCAGCTGGATGTACCTGCATCTCAGAGTTGATGTTCACTCTGGGACTCGAACCCAGTACCACTATCCATCATTAAGGTTATCGAGGCATACACACAGTATGCACATATGCCATTAACAGACGGATCAATTGCAGTCTTAAACCTCAATGGGAAGATACAAGCCAAACAATACCAAGTGTATCATACTTAGTGTTTTCATTTAAGAAAAAACCCTCGATTTCTCTTAACATTTGACCTTTTATCCGATAAAACAAAAAATCATAAATATTTATGTTTCTTTTTTGTTTCGTAAATCATTCAACGTTTCATTCTATTTAGACTAGTACAATCAAAATGAAGCGAAATTCTCCAGGAAACGTTGACAGACGGAAGTGAAAAAACAAACAAACCATCATTTAGTTAAAATGAATTGATGCATGATTAACTAATTTATTGAATAAACCATAGGAACTCATTCATTCATTGTCTCATGTTAGATAAGAAGACTGAATGCCAGTATGATTATTTCATTTCTGCTTCGATGAATACAATTAGTGATGAATGAATCATGTAAATCAAATTAACATGATAAATAGTTCAATTCATCTTAAAGAATTTTGGAAATAATAACAAACTGATCTTCCTAATTACAAAGATGGATAGTGGCTAGCAGTGGAATTCAGTTTGACTTGTCAGCTCAATGTACTTGCATCTCAGACTTGATGTTCACTTTGAGGCTCGAACTCAGTAACGTTTACTTTAAACACCATCACGTTATCCACTTAACTACTGAGTCCAAAATACTCACAAGCTTGTGCAATGTGGTAAAGTTCTAATTCATCAACGCTGAAATGTATGTACATTCAAATGACGAATCTCTAATGCTCATCATAGATTTCAGTGTTAGTTGCAATTCATTTTTAATTTAAATGGAACCTTTCAACTTTTCAAAGTTTAAATGTAAGTTCACTTAGATTTCTGTTGAAAGTCTTAAAAACTTATCACTTATCCACTAAATTTCAATTAACATATATGTATTCTGTCACTTTGTAATTTATAGGTTGTAAATATTTATTTTCGAGTAATCTTTAGGTGAACTAACTAGTGTCAACCCGATAAAATTATAAAATTATAAAATTAGTAGTAGTAGTAGTAGTAGTAGTAGTAGTAGTAGTAGTAGTAGTAGTAGTAGTAGTAGTAGTAGTAGTAGTAGTAGTAGTAGTAGTAGTAGTAGTAGTAGTAGTAGTAGTAGTAGTAGTAGTAGTAGTAGTAGTAGTAGTAGTAGTAGTAGTAGTAGTAGTAGTAGTAGTAGTAGTAGTAGTAGTAGTAGTAGTAGTAGTAGTAGTAGTAGTAGTAGTAGTAGTAGTAGTAGTAGTAGTAGTAGTAGTAGTAGTAGTAGTAGTAGTAGTAGTAGTAGTAGTAGTAGTAGTAGTAGTAGTAGTAGTAGTAGTAGTAGTAGTAGTAGTAGTAGTAGTAGTAGTAGTAGTAGTAGTAGTAGTAGTAGTAGTAGTAGTAGTAGTAGTAGTAGTAGTAGTAGTAGTAGTAGTAGTAGTAGTAGTAGTAGTAGTAGTAGTAGTAGTAGTAGTAGTAGTAGTAGTAGTAGTAGTAGTAGTAGTAGTAGTAGTAGTAGTAGTAGTAGTAGTAGTAGTAGTAGTAGTAGTAGTAGTAGTAGTAGTAGTAGTAGTAGTAGTAGTAGTAGTAGTAGTAGTAGTAGTAGTAGTAGTAGTAGTAGTAGTAGTAGTAGTAGTAGTAGTAGTAGTAGTAGTATTAGTAGTAGTAGTAATAGTAGTAGTAGGAGGAGGAGGAGGAGGAGGAGTCGTAGCGATAATAATAATAATCCCAATATTGTTTGATTAAGTAACTATGATTAGTTATTTTATAACACTTGATTTTGATTGGTTATTTCAATTTATCTTCATTGTGATTGGTCAATTGAATAATGATTCAATTTAACAAAACAAATCATATAGTGAATGGGATTTTTTTCCCCTTCAAAATATTAGTTTTTACAAAATATAATAAATGTTAAAGCTTCTAATTATTCACCATATACTGATTACAGTGTTAACTATCTAATCAAAATGTGAGTTCATCCATGTAATCTAATGACTTGAATTATTTAATGTAATGTATTACTGCTATTGTTGATGGCTTTATTCAATATTATATTGTTTGGTACAATGCAGAACGCTCAGCACTAAGTATCTCAATTAATTTTGGTTCTGTACTTCTTGATCGACCATTGTGATAACTATTGAGTGGTCACTAGTTAGATGTTAACAATTTTGGACTCGAAATCTGGATAATCTTTATTCTTTCCTATGTATATTACTAGGAACCACAATGTCTCTGATTGTGTTTTATTGTAACTTGTACAATGAAAAGTTGTAAACTTTCCATAAACGTTTTTGATTGAGATCATGAACCGATTGATGTTAGACCACCAATGATAACCTAAAGCACTGGACGGCCGTTTCGCCCTATTGTGGGACTCCTCACCAGTGCGCATCCACGATCCCGCTCGCGGGATTCGAACCTAGAACCATCGGTCTCCAGCGCAAACGCCTAACCTACTGGACCACTGCGCCGGCATCCAATGCATCCAGGTTTCCAGAGGTGGTCTAACAACAATCAGTTCATGATCTCTATCAAAACTTAATAATCTCCAAAACCCCCATACTGGTAATTTCCATAAACGTACCAGGATTGGTTTTGAGACTTATAGGCATAATGACGTATTAAAACAAACGAAAGAAAGAGATATTTTCTGGAAATATCCAGATGACTGGAACAGGTAGCCTAGGTATAAAAGCAGGCCACCTTGAAATTAATCGCAGATATATTGTAATAGGTCTTGATTTTGTAATACTTTGAGAGTGACAATTATGATTTGTAGAGATTTTGTATAGCTTATTACTTTTTGAGCATCGATATAATCCTATATGTGAACATTGTATCCTCAACATGTTGGAGAGTTTTACAATATATGTGATTAAAAATTACAAGTTCCCGATGAATCTCTTAATGGAGATTTCATTCGAAGAACTATAGAAACCTGTAAGTATAATTATCAAACATTCTGAAAATCAAGTCGGCTAAAATAAGATTTGTTTTCTGAAAATTAGTTGGCTATAAAAAAAACTAGGTCTCATCATCATTATAAAACTATAATCATATCAATATAAATAGATTATTTATCTTTGATGAACTTCAATTGAAATGAAACATACACTTCACTTTGAAGCTCCTCAACAGTGGTTATCCACGATCCTACCTCACAAGATTCAAACCTAGGATTTAGTAGTCTCGAGAGCGAAGACGAAATTGCCTTCCGGTGCTTCCAGTTTTTCTATGGTAGTCTAACTTGAATTGTCTCATGAATTTAACTATTCAATTAAATGACAGTTAACGCTTGAATCAGAGAATCGAAGTAAAAAATTAAATAGAGTTCTTTTCAACGTAGTAAAACTAAACAGCGATAGTAGTCATAACTACAATGTTCAAAATTCAATAGTAATGTGGTGAACATGAACACGAGTGCGGACAATCGAATGTATTTAAACACGAAGTTACTGAACATCCCACTAAAATCTGAGAGTCATATAGTAAATACTTTATTTGTCTCAAACTTGGCTGTTTCCTTGCAAATATCAGTCCATCGTCTCAGATTTCATTGTTTCTACATCCTCATATCAATTGATTTCTAGTCCCGTTTTTTCCTTCATGATCTTCTACTGAAATACATTCTATTCCTCACTATAGTTACATGCTACTTATATGAATATAAGTAGCTCATACAAAGTAATAATAATTTCTGGTGTATTTAAATGAACTTTTAATAATAATGACGAATACTACTTACAGATGTCTTATTTCATTAAGTATCTCTATTTAAAGTTTGTGCTGATGATGTCGTTCTAAAGAACAATGTAAGCTTTACGACCAAACCATCCAGCCCAGAGAATAAAAACTCTATCAAAATATTTATAAAATCAAACTGAATAGTTCTGTTGGATACAAAAAAGTTAATATTCTGTATCGAAATGATTATTTAATCATTATATACATTAATAAAGTGAATAAAGGTAATTAATCAAAAGGAATTCGGTATTGAAACTGGATAATCCATTTGGATATGAAATTCAAATTTGTTATTTATCCAAAGATGAATAGTGACTAGCAATGGAATCTAGAACGTGTATTTCGTCCTATTTGGGACTCGTCAGCTCGATGTATCTCCATCCTGAGTTGATTTTGACTCTGAGACTTCAACTCAGTATCGTTCGCTTCATGTCTGAGATGCAGGTACATCCAGTTGGCGAGTTTCAAATAAAACGAAATGCGAGTTCTGAATTCCACTGTTAGACACAATCCATCTTTGCCTATAAAGCTTGTGACTTAAGACAATATCGAAGCAGTCCTCATAGGATGCACATATTCTAATAAGACACTGATTAATTGCAGTCCTAAGTATCAATGGGAAGATTCAAGTAAAATAGTACCATTTGAATTTGTTATTTAATGATCATTTATTTAAACTTAGAAATACCATTCAAATGATCTAAGCATTAGAACATCTTACTTATTTCAAATTATAGTAGTGTATTAACAACTAACTGGAGAAGATCAATTTATTGTTGCTTGGCAAAAACTATAAAAATCAAACATTAAGTGCATCAGTATTGTGTTTTATCTATCTCATTATTCTTCTTATTTCGTACATGTTAATATTGATTGCTTTCTGACTATCTTTCTATTCTGCCCTTTGAGTCTACTTACTACCTAAATCCATCAAGATAAGTATTATACACCACATTATTGGAACTTTTTGTATTTCAAACGATTGAATATACATCCACGACCCCGCACCCCGTGAGACTCGAACCCAGAACCTAACAGCCCCGCGCCAGACGCTTAACCAACTAGACCACTGAGCCGGTATCCAACAGTGTTAATGTCCAATTTCAAACAATCCGCGAGATTGATAGTTCCTAGGTTTGAATATCGCGGGTTGCGTGATCGTGCATGCGCACTGTTGAGGAGTCCCATACTAGGACGAAACGGCCGTCCTGCGCTTCCAGGTTTTTCATGGTGGTCTAGCTTCAATTGACTGATGATTTCAATCAGTGAAATTTCTAAAATCTCCACAAAACTTCTTCCGATTAACTATACATTTGGTTTGAACACCTAATCACCGTATTTCTTTTTTGATAAATACAGTTATGTAATTTCGATCGCTTTCCAAAACATTTAGTGACAAGATTTTCGAATGTTTTAATGGTAGTCTAACATTAGTCGTTTCATGATCTCAATCAAAAACTTAATAATCTCCATAACCCCTATACTGATAAATACCATGTGCTCATTAGTGACTAGCTTCATGATGGAATTCTCGAAGTTCTAGTGAGAAGCCGTGACCAGTGGAGCTAATCAGTGTCGAGCAGAGACAGGTATCTACCTCAGTACAATGAAAGATGGTCGCGCAATTTCATGGATTAGTTGATGTTAGACATTAACACCACTGGATGCCGGCTCAGTGGTCCAGTAGGTTAAGTGTTCGCGCGCAAGACTAAAGGCCCTGGGTTCGAATCCCACCAGCGGGCTCGTGGATGCACACTGTTGAGAAATCTTGCAACAAGTGGATCTAGTTTAAAACTAACGTAGGAAGGATTTCAGTTCCCTGTCCACATGTAACTGAATACTGTCAGCTAAAATAAAGAATTTTTTTTAAAACTCCATTTATTTAATGTGGATTAAAGTTCAACGAGATATCAAGTTACTAATTCTAATGAAGGCATTGAAATGTAGTTGGATTTTACTTACCTTCAATATGATATATTAGAACTGACAATATCATGTTGATTACCATTAAACAATTACACTGTCATTAGTTGAATTCATGAGTTATTAAAGCTAGAAAATCTGAAAACATTGGACGGCCATTTCGTCCTAGCATGTGACTCCTCAACAATGCACATCTACGATCTCGCCCGTGGGATTCAAACCCTGGACATTTTTGATAGAGGAAGTTTAAACGGTAATGTTAAAATTTCAATTACTCAGATTGTTGCTTCACAAATTCCAAGAAGTTTTTGAGTTCCATTAAACAATTGTGCACTGCTGACTGTTTACTTTTGTTTCTTTGTGACGTTTGTACACAATAAGACTGCATTATATAAATTTGATTATTTATATTACCTTTGTACTTGATTTGTTTCATAACATTCAAATATAAACCGTGCACTATTCATTCACATGTACCACGAGAAATCATCTCATTGAATGTAACTATTCAAATCTATCATTTCATTGAACTACTTTTACAAGTTCCTAAAACTTCACAAATTCGATTATGCAGGAAACAGTGTAAAATAGCTGTATCTAAATAAACCGAAGTGCTGATAAATAATCACCGTACTTAAAATCAGTCAATATTAGAGTGAACAATCGTTTTTGTTTTTGTAACTTCATCGTTTATTGTGTATGACATAAGTCAAAATAAGACATTCTAGTGAACTTCCCTATTAATAATAGTTTACCCACATGTTCCATTCAAGTGTTGTACAACTGTAGGATGTCAAGTGATTTATCAGAAAGACTATAATTTATGAACAAACCAATCATGTAAGAGATAGCAGGTCACTGATTTTGGCGCGAAATTCATTCATCCATTTGTTTAAATAGAGTTTTGTGATTATAGCTGATGTCAGTTCATGATGAAAACTCTAAATCTAATTTCTAACCTTAATCATCAACTGTAAATTATGATTATAAGTTCTCACACTGGTTTAAAACCCTCATTTGGTCCTAGTTATTAGGTGGATACTCTTAAGGTCACTCTAGGTTCGTCCAATGGTCATCCATGAATTATAGTCTCATCGAATTATCTGATCCCCAAGCCTTATTATTATGTCATCCATTGAAAGCTACTGTAGATTGTTTATTCCATCAATACATGATATAATCTGTCATTGTATTGATTCACTTATATCTTTTAAATTGTTTTCCTTCTAAGTTGCTGATAAACTTGAATTTTTTAGTAAACTAACAAAATAAAGTTGTATTTTACTCAATTGCTTTTAGGAAAGTTGTTACTTCAGAACTGGTCTGCGTCAACATTTTAACTAAGGATAGGGAATGAAGTAGTCGAACACGTTGACAACTTCACTTATCTTTGAAGTCTGATCAACCATAATGGGTTAGTGTCTGACGAAATCTCTGTACGGATTCAGAAAGCTCTTTTGACTTATGCCAATATAAGTCACCTATGGCGAAGCTGGGATATCCGTCTGTTAATAAAAGGAAGAGTTTACTGCGCAGCAGTTCGTTCTGTTCTACTTTACGGCTACGAAACGTGGCCATTAAGAGTAGAAGATACTCGTAAGCTACTAGTATTTGACCACAGGTTGCTTAGAAATATTGCTGGCGTCTGCTGAGATCACCAGGTAAGTAATAGGAAGGTTAGACGCAGGGTACTACAGAGTGATGGCAAATCAGTTGATGAGGTTGTGAATCTTCGTCGACTGAGATGGTTGGGCCACGTGCTACGTATGCCCGAACACTGATTACTACGACGTGCAATGCTAACCGGTGTTGGAGATAGTTGGAAGAAAGTTAGGGGTGGCCAAACCAAAACGTGATATCGGTGCTTGAAGTTACTAACTTCTAGTCTGAGCCATGTTGGTAAATGAAGACTACTTGGTCTGGATCTGCTCGGTTATCGTAACCAATGGTTAGAGACTATGGGTGACATGGCTCAGAATCTATCACAATGGCGTCGGTGTATACACCCTCTGTCTTCCTTTTAAACTATGAGAGTGAAATTGCTTTATATCTTTCTACGAACTAATTCTTTCTTCCTGTACTATATCCTTATTGCAGTCTTTCTTTTATATATTACGACCACTGAATTAACTATTTCTATGAATCCGGTGTTCATCTTGCTGTGCTAATCAGATGTCACAATTTGGACCAATGCATATATGTGCCTGGTCCTACGTTGTAGCTGACTGACTGACTGAGAAAAGTTAGTTTAGAATGAAACACAATGTTACTTATCTGAGAAATTTTTAGGCCAAATCGCAAGGAAGAACTTGACATCAGATAAAGCTTTGAAAATCATTGACACAGTAACCATATTCTGTGAAGAATGTTGGTTTTAACACATTTGAAGTATTAAACTTTTAATACTGAGATATACAATAGAAAACCTTGTTTGATTTATAAGAGGAAGAAATCTTTAAACGAAGATCTTGTACTATAATGAACTGAATGAGATTGAAACCATAAGGGGTGAGACTATAATTTATGGACGACCTTTGAGCGACATTGGACTGACCTTGAGAGTGTCTACATAGTAACTAGGACCAAACGAGGATTATAAACCTGTGTGAAGGATAAGGATTGTGATTTACAGTTGACGGTTACGGTTAGGGATTAGATTTAGGGTTTTCATCACGAACTGACACCAACTATAATCTCAAAAATTCCATTTAATCGAACGGATGAGTGAATTTCGCTTCGAAATCCGAGACCTATTATCTTATGCACCTGATTGGTTCATTCATAAATTATTGTCTCACCCCATAAGATTCTGCATCAGCTTCTTATAAGTATGTTACTCGCCTTGAAACCATGTAGTTCTAGGTTCGATTTAAACGTTTACACAGCTACTAAAAATCTTGACCAATGACAAAATGACTATCCAGTACAACTTGGTTAACAATAGTTTTCCAGTTAGTTTTAACTCATTATCATAACTAGTTTTATAAACTTGACTGTAATTAGATGTTCAGCTATGTCACACAGCTTTGTAAAGTATTCAGTGGTTAAAAGTAATAGACAGTCACTTCTGGATATAGACTTTCAGATGGATCTGATGCTTCTCACGGTATTTAAAACTTATAATACTCAATATCTTGAATAGAGTAGTTACCATTTTATTATTTAGGCTATGACTAATCTGATGTTTACCATCTATCACATTAAAATAAACTGTCATGAAGTTAATATTCAAAAAGATCAACCGGTTCATTTAAAATGGGAGATACCCTTTTCAAACAAGCTTCAACTTCCTTCGATAACCTACAATAAAAAAATGTTATTCATCACATAATACAAACAATATCAAATCAACAAGACTAATGACTAACATTCTAGTTGACTGACATAATTCCATGATCAATCATTGTAATCTTTGTAATGTAATTCAGAAATGATCGTGAATAGAATCCTTTTAAATTCTTATGAAATCCTCATTATGTAATAGTTTCATTAGTCGTCTTACATACAAACTAGTCTTTATTGTTTACTAAATAGATAAATGATGTTTATCTCATAGATTCAAATCATGAGTCAATTGAAGATAGACCACCATGGAAAACGTGGAAGCACTGGACGGCCGATTCGTCCTAATATGGGACTCCTCATAGTCAATCAAAATATATACTACTTAATAAATGTACAGTAGTATTCTTTTTCTAATCTTATACTTTAAATATAAGTGGTAAATATAATAATAATAGTAAGAACTTGGTAAGTTAAATTCTCAACAGTGTGTGTCCACGACAATGCACACCAGCTCAGTGGTCTAGAGATTGAGCATTCACCCGCGTGACCAAAGGTTCTGGGTTTAAATCCTACATGTAGGATCGTGGATGCGCACTACTGCGGAGTCTCATGTTAGGATTAAACGGCTGTCCAGTGATTCCAGGTTTTCCATGGTGGTCTAGCCTAAGTCAACTCAAATTCAACTATTATTACAATCTCCACAAAACTGCGTTTTGATGAAAATAATAATAATAATATTTATTAAAATATAAAACAATAAAGAAAATTCTTGTAATCACATTTTGACGGAGTTGTGTGCTCTGAGCTCGATAGTTTGGTCGTGGAGATTTCATCGTTCTTCTGAACGACATTATCAACACAAACTTTAAGTACAAGTGAGCTGTCCGAATTTCTCCATATATGGTTCACAGCTTGTCCTGTAGACTTCGACGTGGACTGGTTCTTGTTAACCTTAAACAATGAAAGCTCCATGATCGAACCATCCTTAAATGATTAAGTCTATAGGTGATAGGTTTTCATTGTTTTTTTTCTAAGAGCTTCACCAGAAAGCTATTTACTATTGTATATATAACTACCAATTACTAAAATGCTTGTGTTGAAATTTTATAGGTCTTTATAGGGAGAATTTCCATTTCACTTAGTGTGGTACTCCACTGTTGAAGAATTTTAAGAATAGGACGGTAAAGCTGTTCATTATTCTTTAAAGACCTTCACTAAACCACCTTTTTCAAAACATCATTACATTAAAAGTATACAAAATATTGATGGATACTTCAGTACTGTCAATTATGAAGCACTAGTATAGGGGTTGTGGAGATTATTAAGTTATTTTTATTCAGCTCATAAACCGATTGATGTAAGACCACCGTTGGAAACCTGGGGGCACTGGACGGCCGTTTCGTTTTATTGTGAGACTCCTCAGCAGTTTGAATCCCGCGAGCGGGATTCACTAATGACTGACGTCATCAGATTAGATGGTGGTTGGAGGTAGTCAACAGGAAACCCTGGACCCGGGTTTCGTGCTACTTGGCACTCGTCAGCAAGGTGTACCTGTAATCTTGAGGGAACTGGTGCTCCCTGGCGGATTCGATCTCGTGTCACCCAGCTTCACAGTCAGAGACGTTACCACTGAGCTATCCGAGCCGTGACTAACCTCCTGTAGGACTGAGATGTAATCACAATTGATTGATCACTGGGTGGTGATCAATCTCATGCTTGTCTAGTCCTTATTAGTGCAGACGTCATCAGGTTTTTACTGAAGTTCTAGTGGGAAGCCGTGACCAGTGGAGTTTAACCAGGTCTGTTGTGAGATAGTAACTCTCTGAAGAAAATGGTAAATATGTCGCTGAACTTTGTAGATTGGTTGACAGTAGATAATTAACTCCGATGGATGTTAGCTCACTAGTAAAGTGGCGAAGCGCTTGAGTGCAAGACTGATAGGTCCTCGATTCAAATCCTACGAGGCAGGATCGTGGATGCTCATTGCTGAGGAGTCCCAAAATAAAACGAAACAGCCCTCCACTTCAACTGACTCATGATCACAACTATTCAAATTACTATTTACTTTCATTTATTTTAATCTATTTATTTTTCTTCTTTATTACTAGGTCAAAATTTCTATTATTTTTATCTATACTACTTATTATTGATCCAATACAATTAGTCAATTCACGTTATATTGATAATACATTATTACGTAGTGTATTAAATTGTTATGTGGATTGTATACAAAATTCAACAAATGATATACAAGATAATAATTATTGTTATAATGAATGTTTTAATAATCCAAATGAAAAACGTGGTAAATTTTTCATGTTAGGATAATGAATGAATAAAGAAGATAATGAAGAATATAAATGACACATTAAACTACTAATTATGTAGATCAGTAGTATATGTATAATTCAATGAATTGAATTGAATCAAAATAATGAAAATGTATTACATTTATTGAAATATATATATAGATTTATATATTCAGATAACTTTTTTTCCTAATATGTGTTCGAACACGGGACAGATAGATCCTGGGTTCGAATCGTACGGGGCAGGATCGTCGATATGCATTGTTGAATAGTTGTATATTAGGATGATATGGCCGTCCAATGATTCTATGTTTTCTTTAGTGATCTAGGTTTAATTGACTCATGAATTCAATTAATAAATTACTACAATCTTCACAAAACCCTTCTCTAGTTATAATGTTTATATCGACTATGTATTCTAATGAATTAAAGATTACAAATAGTTCATTGAAGGCATAATTCTTTTCAATCATGGTTTAATTGGTTATGCTTGTTACCCCCAATGGTGCATAGGCTGCCGACCAGTATTCTCCAATCTACTCTGTCCTGAGCCTTCCTTTCTAATTCCATCCAATTCTTGTTCATTCTTCTCATGTTTATATCCATTTCTCGGAGTAATGTGTTCTTTCGTCTTCCTCTTCTTCTCCTTTGGCCTTGAGGATTTCAAGTGAGAGCTTGCCTTATGAAGCAGTAGAGTACTATCCTGAATGTGTGTCCTATCCACTTCCAGCACTCCCTCCTGATTTATTCCTTCGCTCAAATTTGGTTTGTTCTCTCTCGGACTGAGGGCGCGTTTCAAAAAGGACAGTGATTTTGTACTTGTTGTGATTATCCTTGCTTTTGTGTAATTGTTGCATCAAAAGCATTCTTAGTCTATTTTATATTAAAGTACTTTAGTTAACTTCTGTAATCATGCTGAAGTTTGCCTTGTGGTACTCTTTTACTCATTGACTGACACTTGTGTTCATATTGTGTTTTAACTCTTAATCTGACTACAATGGTTGGTAGTACTCATAAATGTGTACAACCAAACTGTTTGTTCCCTGCTGAGAAAGGAATGAAGTGTGATGAATGCAAAAAGTGGTCCCATAAGATGTGTACCCGTTTAAGTCCCACCGCATACAAAAGATGCTCGAAGCCTAACTCGCATTGGCTTCGCATGTTTTTCTGTGCAAATAAGACGTTACTAATACATGAGGCTATGAGCTTATTGGCTTTGGCCTGTAAGAAGAACGATGGCGCATACGCTGATAACACGAGCACTAACAGTGAAGAATGGGTCAGTGCAGCACGTACTGTTACGAGACGCCTCAAACACCCGACTGTGACTGACAGAAAAGTGAAATCTCCGTTAACATTAACGAGGGGGAAATACTACCTGACACTGACAATGGTAATCATGCACCTCTAGTTGGGATTGAAGATCTTGATAAAACCTTCACCGTTCCTAATAGTTCCGGTGCCCTGAGGGATGAAAAATGGAGTCGAAAAATGCACTAACAAAATCTGATAGTAAGAGAGAAACCCACCCTGGCGTGACTGAGTAGGAGAATCTAATCTCATCGAATATTATTGTGAACAAATTGCTGGAGTCAAAAGACTCTGATCTCAAATTTAGACACGCACATGATTTAGAGAAGCTGGGAGAATATATTCTTAGTATCTTACCGGATAACTTTAAAGGAGTTCAGGTCAAAAACTGGTTAGAATAGGCAAGAGGATAGAGGACACTGTTGAACCCCGACCATGCAGACTCCTTGAGGTAATCCTAGGATCGGAGAAGCAACGGGATCTCTTGTTAAGTAGCGATCATAGTCACGACAATTCCAACATCCGAGTTAGACCTGATATGTACCTCGAAGATAGAATAAAAAGGAAGAAAGCACTAGGTGAACTAGAAACCCGTCAACAAAACGGTGAGTAAAATCTCCGGTTAGTGGGTTTGCGGATAGTCAGGTCTTGGAAGCGAATGCTACCTGTGTCGATAAGCCGTTCTACCTAGGAGTTCTATATGCTAACGCTCGAAGTTTAAGAAATAAGTTCTATGAACCAGAAGCACTAGTGGACAAATTAAGGCCACTCATTGTAGCAGTACAGAAACTTGGTTAGTACATGACTTAGACATTACTCCAGAATTTTCCGAATATCAGTACCTAAGGAGTGATAGACATAGATGTAGAAAAGGAGGTGGCATCCTGTTATATATAACTAATAATATAAATATCCGCTCCCCTGCTAGCGAATCCCATAATAGCGGTACTTGTGAAATCATTAGCTGTGAATTGGCTATCGGATGTGGTACATTTATGCTAGGTGTCATATATCGCAGCCTAATCTGTTTATCTGATGACTTTATTTTAGAGCACATCTGGCTTTGGAGTGCGAATAACAGATGCTTGATAATAGGAGACTTTAATGCACCTGATACTAGTTGGACTGATATGACCACAGAAGGATCTATAAACTCCTTTAATAGTAGGTTCCTGGTAACAATAATGGAGCATGCACTAGTGCAGCATGTATCCAAACCCACACGCTTTGGTGCTAACCAAGGTTCTTCTATGTTGGACTTGGCAATCACTCATGATACTGAGGATATGGTCGATCTAAATATTCTTCTACCGTTAGTGAACAGCGATCACGCTGTTTTATCATTCACGTTTAGAACTAGGGACATGTTATACGATCAGGTTACCCCCCCCCCAAATGTATGAAAAGCTAACATATCAGCCATTCAGGAATGCGCTGCTAAGACAGATTGGTTTGTAAATACTAGCTTATCAGTTGAAGAAGCATGGTCTGTATTTAAAGGTATGTTTAGCTTAGCTACGTCCTCGTTCATACCATACCTGGTACCGCGAAGACCGAATAACGGTCCACCATGGATAACTAAAACAGTCAGAAAACTTGTTAGAAAAAGGAAGAAGCACCGGAATGTTTGTCTCCACTGGCTTAGAACAATACAAGTCCAGTTATTGTAAGATTCGAAATGCCTGTAAAGCGTTAATAAGTGAGACTAGACGATCATATGAAAAAAAATTAGTTAGGGATTCTAGATATAGTCCGAAACCGTTATTCTCTTATTCAAAAAGGCGAACTCAGAGAAGCTATGGAATTCCATCACTTTTTATACAAGAAAATCTGTTAATCTTGGCAGAATAATATTCCGAAAAAGCTGAAGCTTTATCGGAATATTTCAGTAAAGTGTTTTCTATCGGTAATGAGGAACGACCAATGATTGATTGTGGCCGTGACGGCTCGCTGATGGATCCTGTAGTCATTGAGAAAGGTACTGTTTTAAGGCTACTTCAGCATCTCAAACCTGATAAGTCCAGTCGTCCTGATGATCTTCATCCTAGGATTATGAAAACCATATCAGATGTAATTGCTGAACCATTAACGATACTGTTTGACATGTCTCTGAAGCAGTCCAGACTGCCCAGAAACTGGAAAGACGCTATAATAAGTCCGGTGTATAAGGCTGGGAGTAGGGATTTAGTTATTAACTATAGGCCCGTTAGCTTAACTAGTGCAGTTATAAAACTGATGAAAAAAATCACTCGGATATCTGTTATAAAGTATGTTGAAGGGCGTAATCTTTTCTTAAGGTAAAAACATGGTTTTCAGAGAGGCCTATCATGCTCGACAAATCTTCTCATTGCACGAGAAGATTGGGATGCTGCAAAGGATCAGAATATTCCTGTGGATGTCATCTTCATAGATCTAAATAAGGCCTTCAGTAAATTCTCCCACTCTGGTCTTAAATTTAAACTGGAACGTTTTATAATCCACTATACAGTCGTAGACTGGATAAGCGACTTTCTCTATGACAGAGGACAAAGGGTAAGAATTAATGGAGCCCTCTTCTCGTGAGTAGCTGTAAAAAGTGGAGTTCCCCAGAGTACAATCCTCGGTCCTCTTCTCTTTTTACTTTATGTTAACGGATTACCAACTGTAGCAGAATCATCCGTTCTACTCTTCACTGATGACATTAAAAGTTGGAGACCCATAAACAGTATGTCGGATAGAATAGTATTACAGGATGATCTTAGCTCATTGATGGCATGGTTGGACAGGTGGTCACTAGAAGTAAATCCTAATAAGAGTGTAGTGATGCAGTTAAATAACTCTGATGAATCGTATGACTATACACTACGTGGATTCGTGCTACCCAAAGCAAGAAACTATAAAGACTTAGGAGTTATATTAAGCAATGATCTCAAAACCACTAGTCACTGTAAGGCTGCTGCTGCAAAAGGCTATAGGGTATTATGGTCAATTCGTAGGTCTTTTCAGTATTTAGATGATGAAATGTTTGGATTGCTATACCCGATTTATGTGCGACCACATTTAGAATACGGGATTCAAGCAGCGAGTCCCTGTTTCAAGTATGAAGTAGATATGCTAGAAAGAGTCCAACGACGAGCTACTAAGATGGTACAAGGTCTATCTGGCCTATCTTATGAAGACAGACTGAGACACCTTAACTAATTTCCGTTATCTTACCGTAGAATACGGGATGATCTAATATCGGCTTATCGTATACTGGACGATTACCTTGGTATTAATATATCTCATCTTTTCCTTTCATCTACGAATGATCATTTGAAAGGACATTCGAAGATAGTTCAAAAACCGAGATCAAACCGTTTACGTTTGGAGTTCCGTTTCTCGCCTCGAGTAGTGAACTACTGGAATTCTCTATTGGAACACGTAATATCAGCACCCTCTGTTGATATATTCAAAACGTAGTTTTGAATAATAAATAAAATCAACTTCATTCAACTTAATTTCACTACTGATTTATACATCCCTCTTTCTAAAATGAAAAAAAACAAAAGAAAAGAAAAAAAAGCAAAAAACGAAAAAAATAAAAAAACGAAAAAAACCGTTCAAGGTTAAATTTTGTTTATTCAAGGTTTTGTTTATTCATTTATCACTTAATTTAAAATTTCCCCCCCCCCGCTTTATAGAATCTATTTTATTAGTACAGATTAGCATTGTTTAATATTCAGTCAA